CTCACTACCTATTCAATGGTTAAAATTATGAAGCCTAATTTTTAAGGCCATTTAACATTACTCTAATTTGTATGTGTTCATCTAAGTGTAATCGGTTGTGCGAGAGAGAAAGAGAGAGAGGTGCTTTAAGATCATTATGGGAAAGTAATGCATGTGGTGAGCCACACATTAACTGAGTTGTTTATAATTGGATATCCGAAATATTGAGATTTTCGCCTAAGCGATAATGAATTTAATTTCGTGATAGAATCATGTTAATTAGATATTTAGTGGAAAACGGTGAAACCCATAAAATTTAACAACTCACATATATTTTGGCATAAGAAAATTTGGTGGGATATGATAGAATCATAGATCCTAAAAATCTAATGACCCACATTTATTTTGGGATAAAAAAATTGTTGAAAATTTTAATATGTTTAAAAATACTCAATACTAAAAGAAATTGGACAATTCAAGTAGGAAAAAACTTTGATACTTTCCTTTTGTTTTCTTTTTTCCTTTTTTATGTTGGGAGAAAAAAAAAAAAAGACAAAGAAGAGCATTTAGAGATTACTCCGATAAACCTTCATTGGTAGAATTATGAGAACTATAATCATGACTATTACTCTTATTGAGAACGAACTTAGCTAGGTTGTTAGTATAACGGTCAAACATAAAACCCCAGTGTGAATTCCAAGATTCAAATTTACAACCTCAGAGTGAGAAGTTCGACCGATACCTTAAATTATCCACCTCACTCGATGTATACTCTCCAGTTTTAGTAAACAATATTCTCCTTCCTTAATCACAAGTAAATGTAATAATCGGCGATAGTTTTGGTAATCACATACCTTTTGTTTTTTGTACACACAAAAAATGTGCAATTAAAAATTCGAAGAGGAATATTATACAAATTTAATTTGTGGACATAATCAAAGACTTAATTGAATGTAGTAATTGGATTTATTGTGAGTTATAATTTTAAATGGAATTCATCTTTAATGTAATGGTTATATTGAATTAAATCTTTATATTGGTTTTCAAATTAAGTTTATTTTTTAAATCGGAAAAGCGAAGTATTTCGATTTGACGGTCCAGATTAACTTTGAATGATTGCACACCTTAGTTACAGTGTACTACAATCCATTTAAAATGTTTCTCTGCTGTAGCTAATTTAATAATTTATAGTCACAACGCTCTGCTGGTCAATCCAATGCATTCACGCTCTCTCTCTTTCACCCTCTATTTGTATCTCTGAGAATTGTCTCCACGCGGCGTATTGTAGNAATCCATTTAAAATGTTTCTCTGCTGTAGCTAATTTAATAATTTATAGTCACAACCCTCTGCTGATCAATCCAATGCATTCACGCTCTTTCTCTTTCACCCTCTATTTGTATCTCTGAGAATTGTCTCCACGCGGCGTATTGTAGCAAGTATGGTTCACCCAATTGCGGAGGCCAACGAAACGAGCCCCTTTGGTTCGCTCACGCCGGACGAGTTTTATTCTCGCCACTCAGTGAGTCACGGATCCGAGTTCATCACAAATCCCAGAGGCCTCAAGCTCTTCACCCAGTGGTGGACCCCACTCCCGCCGACAAAAATCATTGGCACCGTCTGCGTCGTGCACGGCTACACCGGCGAGTCGAGTTGGTTTGTTCAGCTCACCGCCGTCCACCTCACCAAATCGGGATTCGCCACCTGTGCTATTGACCACCAGGGCCACGGATTCTCCAACGGACTCGTTGCTCACATCCCCGACATCAATCTCGTCGTCGATGACTGTATTTCTTTCTTCGACTCATTTCGTGATCGTCACGCCCCGTCGTTGCCGTCTTTTCTTTATTCCGAGTCTCTCGGTGGCGCCATTGCGCTGCTTATCACACTTCGGCGGAGCTCAAGCCGGAGTTATGATGGTGTTGTGTTGAATGGAGCCATGTGCGGTGTTAGCGACAAGTTCAAGCCGCCGTGGCCGTTGGAGCACTTTCTTTCTATTATCGCGGCGGTGGTCCCCACCTGGCAAGTCGTTCCTACGCGCGGCCGGATACCGGAGGTCTCGTTCAAGGTATGGTTTTCTAAAATTTTCCATTCATTTTCAATTATCATAAATTGACAATTTTATTTTATTTTTATCCTTTTGTTGAATTTCTCCAAAATTTCTAGGCAAATTTCAAAATTCTAGAATCAAAATTTTCAAATTTTGCCTTTTTTTTGTAAGATTTAGTCCATTTTACTAGTAATTGGGCAATTTTTTTCCCAAATAATGATCTCCGAGTTGCTTAAAGGTCGAGTGGAAGAGAAAACTTGCGACAGCTAGCCCACGGAGGAGTATGGCCAGGCCACGCGCGGCGACGGCGCATGAGTTGCTGAGGGTGTGCAGAGAGGTGCAGGGGAGGTTTCACGAAGTGGACGTGCCGTTGCTGATTGTGCATGGTGGCGACGACGTCATTTGCGACCCTGTGTGCGCGGAAGAACTGTACCAACGAGCTGCAAGCAAGGATAAGACAATCAGGATATACCCCGGGATGTGGCATCAGTTGATTGGTGAGCCTGAGGAGAATGTGGAGTTAGTTTTTGGGGAGGTGGTGGAATGGCTTAGGACACGAGCTGAACGCGCCACCACTGATGGTGGGGGAGAGGCTGAGAAGGTCAGGACGGATGGTGGCGCGTAGATAGTGAGGATTTAATTAATTGTTGTGTAATAAATTGGGTGATTAAGTATGTACAAGGGAGTGTGAAATGGATAATTTGTGAACTGATATGGGAATACAAAGAAAAATTATGAGTTTGAATAGAAATAAAATCATTGTGCATATGGATGTTTACATTGATCTTTGTCTTTTTCATTAGTAGATCATTCGCAATGCATCAATCCACCATAAAAAATCATGTGACAAGAGCTTGTATTTCACGTTTAAAGACTAAGCACTTGTAAAGTTGGTTCTATATGTTTTAATGGTACTCTTCTTTGTAGGCAATTGATTTTGCCGTTTTGGGTTTGATTTTCTGCCACGGTGTTAGAGTTGCTGTCTTGGGTTTTTGGGTGGACTAGGTTTTTTAACTCGTTGAATTCCCCAATTTGTTTATCTATTTGTTTCAACTTATTTGAGTTTTGTTTGTGGCTCACATGCTAAGCTCCAAATTGTATGTGAGGGAGGGTGTGAAAGGAGCTGCTTGAAGGATTGTTGTACCCATGATCAATGGATATTGGGGTTTATGTTTTAATAAATACAATTATATGTAATGAGTTTCATTTGAATTCACAATATATGATTTAACAAGGAAAAAATAGAGGAAAAAACTATTAAAGATGATCTCACTAATTGTCTCATATAAGTTGTGTCAAAATTAGTTTTAATTTGTACTCCACTTATTTATAATGAAGCATAAACAAATTTGTGTTGTGTATATACTGAGTATAATATTTATTATCGTCCCATTTACTAAGTGGCTCATTTCGTCTATAACCCTAATTAACAAAGATTAAAATTGATGGTTGTGTTGAATACTCATTATCATTCTCTACTTGTGACAAATACTAAGGATTATAACGTCAGGAATGATAGAACATTATAATTCATCAAAATTTTACATAGAAAAATATATCACCCATACAAATGTGACTTTTGATTATGGTGTTAAGATTGATCAAAATTTAAAAATGCACCAACCCAACATCTTAGATCGTACAAGCAAGCGAGCCCAATACAAGATCGCGTCACACGAAATAATTATCGCCCTCATCCCCTCCAAGTTGAAGTGTTGGAACTCTCTAGACTCACGATGACAGATGACATTGGCAACTCAATGTTAAGTTGCAGCTACTAACATTGATATTTGTGATAACTAACTTAACAAAACAAGATGCACCGGAGAATTCCCGCAATGAATACGGATAGCAATTCTCTCTATGATAAATCTGAAACAATCACAAGATCAGAAAAAGAGCTGACTAAACACTCGATTTATTCCCTTCAAAACTTAAGTCAGTAAAAGTTTAGAGACTTTTAGTACAATGTCTCTTTTTTCTCAGTTTGGTTTGTGTACCTTTGTTTATTTTTTTGAAGGGTATTTATACCTGCATTAGTAATAAGTGAAAAGAGTTGGAATCCCCTCTCAACATTTAATGACTTGCAATCTTACTCATGCGTAATGAGTGTTCTTCTCTCAGATTCTCGAGATTGGTTCTCCCTGAGTGATAGGCCAACTGCTCGGGGCATGTCGAGCACTTATGACCCCAATCCCGATCATTTAAGTTCATNATTGGTTCTCCCTGAGTGATAGGCCAACTGCTCGGGGCATGTCGAGCACTTATGACCCCAATCCCGATCATTTAAGTTCATCTGATCGACACTTGACCTTTATTCATGAGCGTTTAATTCTCGGAGAACAGTACCTCAGGGTACGCCAAAGAGATATGCTCAGCACAATAGCTATTAATGNAAAAAATCATGTGACAAGAGCTTGTATTTCACGTTTAAAGACTAAGCACTTGTAAGGTTGGTTCTATATGTTTTAATGGTACTCTTCTTTGTAGGCAAATGATTTTGCCGTTTTGGGTTTGATTTTCTACCACGGTGTTAGAGTTGCTGTCTTGGGTTTTTGGGTGGACTAGGTTTTTTAACTCGTTGAATTCCCCAATTTGTTTATCTATTTGTTTCAACTTATTTGAGTTTTGTTTGTGGCTCACATGCTAAGCTCCAAATTGTATGTGAGGGAGGGTGTGAAAGGAGCTGCTTGAAGGATTGTTGTACCCATGATCAATGGATATTGGGGTTTATGTTTTAATAAATACAATTATATGTAATGAGTTTCATTTGAATTCACAATATATGATTTAACAAGGAAAAAATAGAGGAAAAAACTATTAAAGATGATCTCACTAATTGTCTCATATAAGTTGTGTCAAAATTAGTTTTAATTTGTACTCCACTTATTTATAATGAAGCATAAACAAATTTGTGTTGTGTATATACTGAGTATAATATTTATTATCGTCCCATTTACTAAGTGGCTCATTTCGTCTATAACCCTAATTAACAAAGATTAAATTGATGGTTGTGTTGAATACTAATTATCATTCTCTACTTGTGACAAATACTAAGGATTATAACGTCAGGAATGATAGAACATTATAATTCATCAAAATTTTACATAGAAAAATATATCACCCATACAAATGTGACTTTTGATTATGGTGTTAAGATTGATCAAAATTTAAAAATGCACCAACCCAACATCTTAGATCGTACAAGCAAGCGAGCCCAATACAACATCGCGTCACACGAAATAATTATCGCCCTCATCCCCTCCAAGTTGAAGTGTTGGAACTCTCTAGACTCACGATGACAGATGACATTGGCAACTCAATGTTAAGTTGCAGCTACAAACATTGATATTTGTGATAACTAACTTAACAAAACAAGATGCACGGGAGAATTCCCGCAATGAATACGGATAGCAATTCTCTCTATGATAAATCTGAAACAACCACAAGATCAGAAAAGGAGCTGACTAAACACTTGATTTATTCCCTTCAAAACTTAAGTCAGTAAAAGTTTAGAGACTTTTAGTACAATGTCTCTTTTTTCTCAGTTTGGTTTGCGTACCTTTGTTTATTTTTTTGAAGGGTATTTATACCTGCATTAGTAATGAGTGAAAAGAGTTGGAATCCCCTCTCAACATTTAATGACTTGCAATCTTACTCATGCGTAATGAGTGTTCTTCTCTCAGATTCTCGAGGTTGGTTCTCCCTGAGTGATAGGCCAACTGCTCGGGGCATGTCGAGCACTTATGACCCCAATCCTGATCATTTAAGTTCATCTGATTGACACTTGACCTTTATTCATGAGCGTTTAATTCTCGAAGAACAGTACCTCAGGGTACGCCAAAGAGATATGCTCAGCACAATAGCTATTAATGTTTTATAATCATGACTGTCAGTTTAAGTCTCGAGAATACAGAGACTTATTAATAGTAATGTCATAGTTACTCACGTCTTCATTAATGAGCTGTCAAATCTTCTTAAATACTGGTGTCAGGATATGTACTCGGCTCCTCCAAACCATTATTCCTTGGCACCATCTCTTGGTATTTTTTGAGTTCCATAATGATTACATGTTTACACGTGTCGATCTGGAGACTGCTGAACTGCCTGAAGTGCCATCACTAGAGACAATTGATCCATAATTTTAAAGAACAATAGTCCAGTAAGACATCTTCCTTGCTCTTTTGGTAGAGAGATCCAAAATAGTCCAACATGTCAAAAGCATCAAACTATGTAGCAACATCGAATTTGGATTTTCATGCCAAGACAATAACATTATGACATGGTCATGAGCCGATATCAAAGCCAATTCACTCTATCTAATCACTCTCCCTAACCCAAAAATAGTTTTTTTTTTTCCACGATTTTTTTTAGGGTAAATTATATTTTATATTTTTTTAATTTGTACCCTCAACTATAAATTTTTCACATTACATCCAAAAATATCAATTTTATTTCATATTATTCAAATTGATAACAAATGTCAATTTTTTTTATGGTAAATGCGCATATGAGTAGTCTGTATTACTAATAAGTAATTGTCTATTGCACATGTGCAAGTCAAAAATCAATGATACATATCCATGACTTTGTCATTCCTAAACTCCAAATTTTATTCCTCTTGCCGACCTTTTTCTTTCTAATAATCATTTGGTTGCAAAAAAATATAAAATAAAGTGGTACTAAACACTTAACAGGAAACTCTTTGGGGTTTCCCTACCTTATTTAAAAGATTTATAATTTTATCGTTATCTATTGAAGTGATATGAAACAAAATTAATATTTTAGAGTATAGTGTGAGAAATTTTATAGTTAAAGATAAAAAGTAAAATAAGGATAACAGTTTAGAGGATAAAGTTTAATTTATTATTTTTTTATTATAAGAACCGAACTTAAACGAGGTTTTAAAGAGACAAATCTGAATCGTTCTTTATATATATATAAGTAAATCAAAATAGTTCCATCCGTTGTACAATATTATCCTCACAAGAATGAGTAAATATTCGATGTAATACTGACACTAAATTACATTTTCACATAATTTTATTGTTTAATAATAAACTTAAAAATCGGCAAGATGAACCTTAATTCTTTATATAAAGTGGTTATTCCCTTATGATAGTTACAAAATTAAGTGAAGTGCACCTACTTGCATTCACGTTGATTTATAATTGAATGGTGACACCAAGTGATAATGAAGACGTTGTGTCGTTTGATTTTGCACAGCGGATAATTAATACTAACACCATAAATTAGAAGATAAAAATTTAAAATAAAAAAATAATAAAAATATGATACAAATATATAACGTAGTTCGATATAAAATACTAACATTTATACATTGTACTTACATCTACGGATCAACAAATTCACAATTTTCAACTTCTTTCCTATTCAATTCAGGAATCTTACATTGATTACTCTAATAAACTCATCTTCATGATAATTGGAGAATTCGGTCAAATTCTAACAAGGTTACATTCAATATATTCTTAAAAGGAGATCTACCTCGTACTGTGTGCGAAGTAGAGGATAGCCGTTCATTTACATAACACCCAACACCCCACCCAAAACAAAACAAAAAAAACTCCATTTTTCAATACCGTCAAGGTGTTTGTTTGGTTAGATAAAGGTAGATACAGGATCAAGATTGAGTAAAATTAAAAGGATCTCACATATTTCATAACAAACTTATTTAATCCGGAGAAAACCACTTCTGGCCTAGCCTAGCCCACAATCTACACAAGATCTCATAATCCACTTAGATGGGTTAATTTTAAGGCACCAAGATGGTAAGATGTAATGGCCTTAAAATCCTCCAACATAATATGTATACAAAATTAGGGGTGCAACTTGGGTTGGCTAATTCAATTTCAACCCGAGCTCAACTTGAAAAAATTAGGGTTTGAGCAAGAGTTTTTAATATTTGGCACTACAACAAGAAAAAATTTTTGCGACGATTTTAAATTTGTCGCAAAAAGTTGAGTATTAGCGACGCTTTATATTTTTATCGCAAATTTCTATTTTGGCAAGTTTTTTGCGACGTTTTTTGAAAAAAGTCGCGAAAAGGTGATTCCGCCTAATAATTTTTTGGCAGGAGCAATGGCGGGAATTGGTAATGTTTCGCGACAAACATTTTTCGTCGCTAAAATAAATAATCTAACATTTAAAGCAAAATAAAGTCTAAATTTCAATTTTTGACATTTTTTGCGACGTTTTTCAAAAAACGTCGCCAAAAGGTAACATTCTCCTAATTCTATGGCAGGGAAAATTGCGGAAAATTACAAATTTAATTATTTTAACGTCGCCAATAGTAAATTTTGTAAATAAAAAATTTTAAAAATAACAATCTAGTTGTTTTTTCGAGACGTTTTTGGAAAAACGTCGGAAATAGTAAAATTTTCATAAATAAAAAAATAAAAAAATAGCAATCTAATTGTTTTTTCGTGACGTTTTTTGAAAACGTCGCCAATAGNAAATTATGACTTATATAATTGGTATACTTGGATATTGTTGATATAACTCATATATTTCTATATGTCAAGTGTTTTATATATATCGGACTAGGTCGCCGAGCCACCATAATAGCTAGTGCGGTTGCATCCTCTGATGCACCTACTAGGGGTGCATCATCGAGTACACATGTTAGGGCTATATCATCTGATGTACCTACATCACAACCTCTTGCAGGCACTGAGGGTAGCAGTACAGGTTTGATGCATACTTTATTTTCTAAACATATTTTTCATAATATGGTGGGCTAACATCTATTATTGATGTTTGCGCAGCNCTGAGGGTAGCAGTACAGGTTTGATGCATACTTTATTTTCTAAACATATTTTTCATAATATGGTGGGCTAACATCTATTATTGATGTTTGCGCAGCAGCTTCTACCACCAAGAAACAAGGTCGAGGACCGTCTAGAGGGAAAAATGCTGAGCGTCTTCGTGTAGCTCACGGCCCGCTTGATGTTTTGATTCTTGATGGAGTCGGCATTCCAGTGGGTGTACATTCTTCGAAGATGATGACAGAGATTGGCTCCCTGGCGAGGACGTTTGCCCCTATTAGAAATGTGCACAAATGAAAGCAAAGCAAATAACATAAGAGGAGAAGGCACCACTCATNGTGGATATATTTGTTTGGTTTCAACAATATATTTATTTGTGTATATTGTTACAACATGTTGTAATTAATTTGTATATTTATATTATGTTGTAGACAAAGTTTAACANCACCACTCATTGCACGATTGTTGGTTAGTGGATATATTTGTTTGGTTTCAACAATATATTTATTTGTGTATATTGTTACAACATGTTGTAATTAATTTGTATATTTATATTATGTTGTAGACAAAGTTTAACATTTGAGACTATCATGAAAAAGTTGGTGTTAGGAAGTCAATCGACAAAAAATTTGCTGCGAGGTACAGGGACCACCAATACCATATGCATATGTACTACAAGGATTTGGTTGACTCTGGTGTTGACCCAAAGAGCAAGCCATATGGTGATGTGAGTCAGGAGGATTAGAACTACATAATTGAAACAATTTACAAGGATCCAAAATTTGAGGTAACTTTAATTAGCTATGCAAATTAATATCCATTTTTTATTCCCAATTGTGTACTAATTATGTTCTTTGTATATAGGAAAAATCTAAGAAAAATGCAAAATATCGTGTCAAATTGCCATACAACCACTCGATGGGTTCAAAGTCCTTTTAGGCTGCTCTATATGAAAGGATGTTATATTTTAACATTTGCTTCCTAAGTTTTAATATATAAGAAATTTATAAATTTGTGGATGATATTTTGATTAACTGTAATAGAGGGACCCTACGACTGATGAGCCACCCCACATTGCTGATTTTTTTCACGATTCTCATGTGAACAAGAAGGGTGAGTGGGTTTTTGCTGAGGCAAAGTCAAGATATGTAAGTATTTCAAATAGTAGAAAATTATGTTTTTTTAAAATAAATTTTGTATTATACACTCACTAATTGGGTTTAAATATATTAAATTGTAAGAGCGAATGAAATAATTGGCCACACAGAACTTAGAAGAGGGTGTAGAGCCATTGACACAGGATGAAATTGCATGCACAGTCCTTGGCAGTAGATCTGAATATAAGAAAGGATTTGGACATGGCCCGAAGCCTTTATCATCTAGTGAGTCATTCAAAGCCACTGTTGAGTATCGACAACAAACTGATATGATAAAACAGTTTTAAGCAATTGTTGATTCTCTTCAGCAGGAACATGATGAAACGAAACAAAAGCTAGAGAAGGTTGAAGACGCACAACAGATGATGCAACAGAAGTTTGAAGAATCCCAGCAACGGATGATGCAACAACTTTTGCAGATGCAACTTCAAATGCAACGTGCTTTGGGTGGCACCTCAACTAATGCAGACATGCCACCTAAGTCGTAGTTTATGTGTAGTTTCTGTGATCACTATTTCTCGTGATAGCATATAATACTGATTTTTCTTGTACCCTAACTTTGAATTCACTCCCTTCTTTGATTATGTTTGTCCTTGCAACAAAATATGATGTTGCCATCTCAACAACATGCCCTGGACTTGATTATATTGTCGTGGAAACACCTGTTGCATCACAAGCTTGCGTGGATTTACTTTGCAGTAAAAACCTTGGTGTTGTAACTTTCATGATTTCGGTAGATATTTCATAAAAAGTGATGCTTAACATGGTTGTTGTATATTTTATGTTTATATTTGTTACTACTGGTTAAAACGAAGTTTCCAACACCTAACTGAAAGAATTTGGCTTTGGGTGACAAATCAATTCAAGTGGGTAAAGTCAATAAAATTTACTCAGCCCTTGCCAACATATTATGCTTGCTGTTTCCAGAGTCTAGCCCTTGTGTCATTTTTGCTTCCACTTGAAATTATAATTGTCACTGTGTTGCATATAGTGGGTTTGATTTGCACAAGGACTTGTGTAGGTAACTATAGATATAGAATGAAAAAGAACACTTGATGGTGCCCTTTTTGAAAAAATCTGGTGCTATGAGTGATGGGGGAAGTAAGTCACGTGGTGGTAAGATGGGGACATCTATCCGAGCTTACAGCATTTCTGAAGAGGCCGTTGCTAGTGCTGAAAATGAGCTTTCTATGATGATTGAAAAATTAAGTCATACACGCCAAAGAATTGCTTATGCTGTGCGACATTACTAGGTTGCCGAAAAAGCAATTTCCCACATGGAGATGGAATTAGCAAACAGTCAAAAAGAGGTGACATTCTAGACTATATCGTTAACCACATCAATTAGTTCTATCTTAGGAGAGGAGAGTCTGATGCATTAAATTTCTTTATTTATGGCAGATTGACAGTTTGACCTCACAATATGGTGATCTTGACCAGTTTGACCAATTTACATATCGTTGGTGGCTCCTAAAAACTATGTCTGTTTATAGCATGCACGCATTATGTCTTCTTGTTTTGGCAAAAATTCCCTAATGTGCCTATGATCTCTGTATTTTTAAGCTTTAGAGCTTCAGAGTATGATAGAAAATGTAGGTGGGGAAAGGATAAAAGCCCAAAAGTTGAAGGTTAACAAGATTCAGTTGGTGAGTGTATTCTGAATATGAAATACACTAGGTACTACAAATAACAGTTCCACTTATGTATGGTGCCCACTTGTCAGGACATTGATAAAAGCAGCACAAAAGTCAACCATTCCAAAGTTCAAATACAAATAGGTCATAATACAATCAAATAGAAACAGGTTATGGAGAAAGATAATTTACTCTCTACCTTCAAAGAGATCGAACAAAAGGCATTTACAGTTCAGGAGAACTATAAGAAAACATAGGAGGTTATATTTGTTCATTTATGTTCTTGACACCTATGATGTTGAACCAGTTGCGAGAGTTGCTTATGTGATCGATGCATTTTTTTTCTCTTCTAATTTGTGTAGTTAACCGATCAACACAAAGATGTGCTGGATANCGAGAGTTGCTTATGTGATCGATGCATTTTTTTTCTCTTCTAATTTGTGTAGTTAATTGATCAACACAAAGATGTGCTGGATAGAGCAAAGCATGACTATGAACAACTGAAGAAAACCGTTGACGAACTGCGGGCATCTGATCAGGTTGATGCTGACTACAATTTTCGGTTTCGGTCTAATTACATTTTATGTAAAATATTGTTGTTCAACTTCATCAGAATGTCGAGTTGGTAAAAGAGTTGAAACTACGAATAAAAAAGCTGGAAGGAGTCGTGGGTGAATCCACCAAGGATTCTGATGTGTCTAAGAGGTAAAGCAATTCTTTGGTTTTCTCACTGTCTAGCATCTCAGTTACCATTAGCATGGTAATCAAGAAACACATGTTTCACAGAATTTGAAATACCATTTGATCTTTTCCCCCTTGTGTAATGGATTATTAAAATAAATTATAATGAATTTTAATCTTTTATTTACATTTCATTATTGAACTTGGGGCTTTTTTAATATGTTTCTTTGTGTTCAATTTTTGTTCTCATGTGAATTTTTTTAACTTGAATGTTAGAAGAGCTTAGGTAGGGAGCTCTTTCTCAGGTATATGAATTTCTTTTTCATGATTATCATGACAAGATGATGTTCCGCTGAACNAGGTATATGAATTTTTTTTTCTTATTTTATCATGACAAGATGATGTTCCACTAAACTGAATTTTGCAAGTTCGTGTTTGATTGGATTGGATTTAATGATACATATTCTTTCTGCATGTCCATTTCTGCTCATCTTTAATTATTGATACATATTCTTTGTGATGGATGCTTCTGCTGTTTATTTATGCTTATGGGACTGGGTGTGCTGTGTGGTGTTCTCTGCTTTGCTATGTGACGCTATTCTTTTCTGTGTTCCTATCATGGTGAATCAGATTCAATTGTTCCTTTTCATTATAAGAGGGAAACTTATGTGTACATTTGCATTCAAAAGAAGTTTGTGCAAATTTGAAAGTTCTCTGTGGTTTATAAGAATGGGGAAGGGGATGGTGTCTTCTGCTGGTTCTGCGCCTCTTCTACTGTTTCTGCTTGGGCTTCTGGTTCTCTTGTGTTTCCTCTGTTTCCATTGGATGCCATTCAAGGCAAAGCTGCTGCATCATCAGGAACAACACCATTAGGAGAGGAGGGGTTATCTTTCTTGGGCGATCCTCTCTGTCTCTCTTCCTGACCTTTGAACTTCGTTGTTCACTTTTTTCGATGCATTCAAGTCAGATGATGCTCCTTCAGCTGGATATTATTGAGTTGTTCCCTTTCCTCTTCTGCCTTTTGTCTCTTGGTTTATCTCAACTGAGGTTTTCCTTTTTGGGTTGGATGTACTGCACTTTCATTTATGATCTTTCAGCTGCCCCCTCCCAGCTGGGGGCTCTCTTCTGGCATGCTTCTGGGGATGTTTCTACTGTTTTTGCCTGCCCTTAGCTGCCCCGCTTGTTGTTGCCTGCCTCGCCTGGTTCCAGCTGACTATNATGCTCCTGGGGATGTTTCTACTGTTTTTGCCTGCCCTCAGCTACCCCGCTTGTTGTTGCCTGCCTCGCCTGGTTCCAGCTGACTGTTCAGCTGGTCATTTTGTTGTCCAGCTGGACCCTCAGCTGGTTTTCAGTCGTTTCTCATCTTTTAGGTTGTTGATGGGTCCTCCTCCCTCCATCAAGATTTCTTCTCCCCTTTCTTCTTATCTTGCAGTATTAAAGCCATTTCTAGCTTGGTCCCCTTTTGTTGCTTGTTGGTTTTTTGCTTCTTGTAATTATTCCTTTCATATATTTCATATTCTTTAAAAAAAAAAAATATGGTTCTGCACTGTTAACTACTTGCACAGTGCACTGTTAACTATTATGTTATTTGTGTTATGTATATGGTCCAAAGTGCCTCAGATAGCAGCAGTTGTTATAGGTGTAGATGTTGCTGATGGTAAAACATAAGGTACCANCACTGTTAACTATTATGTTATTTGTGTTATGTATATGGTCTAGAGTGCCTCAGATAGCAGCAGTTGTTATAGGTGTAGATGTTGCTGATGGTAAAGCATAAGGTACCACTTGTACAAGAAGCATTATAGGTGTAGATTTTACACTCACAAACATAAGTCTCTTGACAGTGGTCCATGTAGGAATTTTTTTTGTTGTATTTACATATGCTATGTTCCTTGGATTTTGATTGCTCTNCAGTTGTTATAGGTGTAGATGTTGCTGATGGTAAAGGATAAGGTACCACTTGTACCAGAAGCATTATAGGTGTAGATTTTACACTCACAAACATAAGTCTCTTGACAGTGGTCCATGTAGGAATTTTTTTTGTTGTATTTACATATGCTATGTTCCTTGGATTTTGATTGCTCTTCGTACAACTATACTATCAAATTTTTGAAGCCTTCTTTGAGGCTTTTGGCAATACAATTTATGCCCCAAGGTTGTGACTTGTGAGCCTCTGCCTCCTTTAGGAAAATATTTTGTTGCTATAATTGCTCAATTAATCAATTTTACTAATCTTTAAAACAGGTCTTTAATCATATTTTGTATAAAAGTAGTTCAAAGTATCACTTAAAATGATGCCTTTTTTTATGTGTTTATTTCCTTTAACAAGGTGTGGAAACATGTTGTTGAGCTATACAACATTTGTCACAGTAAAATGGAGGAAATAGTTCCAAAGGGCGTCACGATGAGGTATGCACTAAATATTTAGCATACCTATTCTGTTTTTGAGTCATTATTTTCTAAATCACATCACTTCAACATTGTCTTATATTTTAACCCCTTCCCCTAGAGTATTCTTATTNCACTAAATATTTAGCATACCTATTCTGTTTTTGAGTCATTATTTTCTAAATCACATCACTTCAACATTGTCTTATATTTTAACCCCTTCCCCTACAGTATTCATACTGAATACATTAGTCTTACACTGTTCATGTCACNTATTCTTACTGAATACATTAGTCTTACACTGTTCATGTCACTTGGGCTATTTCATCTAATTTCTTGGTTCCAACTTGGGGTTCTAGGATGCAATGGATTTCTTTGCTGCTTGGGTGGTTTGAAAGCTGCCTGTTTCTGAGGTGCTGATCCTCTCAGCTGATCCATGTGTTTTTTGGGATTGAATGATGGTGGCTGCTACNTCCATGTGTTTTTTGGGATTGAATGATGGTGGCTGCTACATATTTTGGACCAAGTTTATATGATTTTCTAAAGAGAAATAGATACTGCCCATTTCCTGTGGATCTTTTTCGGGAATTTGGACGTCAGCTTTTGGAATCTGTAGCATGTATGTGGATTAATCTTGGCCTTGAATTATATCTCGATTTTTGTATTCTTTTCCTTTTCTGATCAATTTTTTGGGATTTGTTTTTTGGCATGTTCTTTTTGTCCAGGGTGTAGCAGTAAATGAATAATTGTGAGATTTCTTGTTTAACATTTTTTTATGATTTGTCATATCCAACAGATATACATGATTTACGGTTAATTCACACTGACTTGAAGCCTGAAAATATACTGGACTGTGTTTTTTGAATGGGCTTTAGTCTAGACTTGATCCATGTGTTTGAGGTATTCTGGTTGCTTGATTTGTATGCTTCCATAAAAAATCGTACAGTAAATAAACTAGGAGGAGGCAGAAAACTTCTTACGAGTAGCATTGATCCCCCGTTGATCATGTTGCCGTAAAAGTCTGATAGAGAAAGGCATATCACCTTGATACAATCCCGTTAAAGTATTCTATCCAACTTTTTAATAGTGTATTTCATTTTTTCTGTTTTGCCATTTATTCTTGGTTCATGTATTATGTTCTTAGGTTTTTTTAAAAAAAAATTACTTGTGGTAATATATTATCGCTATATGTTTTAGGCTAAGCTTCTTATTACTTCTTGTTCAATGTCAAAGTTTCGTTTAAATTCACAGCTGAAATTTCTTTCTTATGTGTCATATCTCAAGTGAACTGTGTTGTAATGCGTGGATTCAATGACGATGAAATCTGTGATTTCGTAGATCCAAGTAAGGCTTGGTACACAACCCATTTCACATTTGAAAGCTAAAATCATACGTTTTTGCATTCATGCTATGTGGATTGCTAATCATTTGCTGTTGATGCAACAACCTATATTGTACTGGCATCTGCATAGTTCTCTCTTCATGCTTATGTTTGTTTTCTTTGTTGTGATTTTGTGGCATTTTGTGGGCAATCAATAACATAATCTGTTGTCTTTTGGAACATGATTGTAGCGAGTGCATGTTTTATTTCGGCTTGGGATCACTTTTAGTNCATAGTTCTCTCTTCATGCTTATGTTTGTTTTCTTTGTTGTGATTTTGTGGCATTTTGTGGGCAATCAATAACATAATCTATTGTCTTTTCGGCATGATTGTAGCGAGTGCTTGTTTTATTTCGGCTTGGGATCACTTTTAGTTTTTTTTCTCTTAATTCTCTTCAATTATAGATGACGTATTGGTCAATGATAAGTGATCTACCATTAACAGAAATGAAGAAATTGCAGTAGTAGGGGTAATCATAGAAACAAATGATGAAAATGTTGTTGAGGTAAGTTGCTCAGTTCTGAAATTGTGATATTGGCTAGCATTGCACTGATTTTTCTCTTAGTTTATCCAAACTACTTTATCAACACTTGTTTCCATGGNACAAATGATGAAAAGGTTGTTGAGGTAAGTTGCTCAGTTCTGAAATTGTGATACTGACTAGCATTGCACTGATTTTTCTCTTAGTTTATCCAAACTACTTTATCGACACTTGTTTCCATGGTAAATGACTCATCTCTCTTTCAATACTCTTATTTTGCTTTTATTAATTTTTTAGAAAGTGGTATTCTGCCACTGGAAGGATGGTTAGTTATGCATTAGCATCAGTCCAAGATCCCTACTGCTCGTAGGAGGAAGGTTGTGTGTGGTGGTCAGTTTGATTATGTAGATCCTGAACGGATAATGTTGAGCTTTGACATGATATTTCAATGCATGGAGCTGGACTATTGGAGCTGTTCAAGTTTAAGAGACATTAAATGTAATTAGAGATGGTTTAAATCCTCTTGAAGGATTAAAGCTATTTTTTCTATTTTTAGGACTTTTTGTTCTTTGATTCTTGTAATTCATTCTTTTTGGAAATAAAATTTTATTTTTTTTTTAAAAAGATGTTAAATGTATTAATTATGTTAGTTTTTATTAAACACATGTATTATTGGTGTACAGGCGAAAAATTTTATTGGAAAAATGATTTTTTTATATAAAATCAAAAAAAAAATGAACTTTTTTGCGACGAAATAAAAATCGTCGCGAAAATTGCAGTACCAACCTTTTTTGCGACGAATTTTTTACTTCGCAAATATATTTATTTAATTATTTTTTACATATTTTTAATTAAAAATATTATTTGCGACGATTTTTTTTTCGTCGCTAAAATTAATTAAATTATTTTTTACTTTTTTTATTAAAATAATATTTGCGATGACTTTTTTTACATCGCAAAAAATTAATTTAATTATTATTTTTTACATTTTTAATTTATTTAAAAATTATTCGCGGCGCTTTTTTTACGTCGCAAAAACTTAATTAAATTATTATATTAACCATTTTTATTTATGTAAAAATTTATTTGCGACGATTTATTAACGTCGCCAAATATTACTTTAATTAATATTTTTATAAAAAAATTTTGGGCGACAAATTTATTTACGTCGCAAAAAATTAATTAAATTATTATTTTAATATTTTTATGTTGGGGGAATAGGTTTTAGCTACGTTTTGTTTAACTTTTTGCGATGTTTTTTTTTTTTTGTTGCAAAAGATTTTCTGTGACGAGGCTATTGCGACGAAGACGCGACGAAAATAAATCGTCGCAAAAAATATTTTGCGACGATTTTTTTTAATTTTGCGACGAAAAAAAACGTCGCAAAAAATGATTTTTGTTGTAGTGTGGGTTGGGTTTCGGTCAAAAAATCTCAACCCGAATTCAATTTGGATTGGGCTCGGGTTAAAATCTCGTGAATCCGAATTCAACTCGAACCCGAAAAAAAAAATTATATATGTATATAAAGCATTAGCATTGATTTTTCATTTTTGTTCTATCGTTCTCTGTCTCTCTCGTTCTTTTTGCCTCTCTCGTTAAAAACTTGGTTGAAGTTATTGGTTGTTAATTTTGGTGAATATTATATACTATATGTATTAGATTTAGAATAATAAACCTATTTTGGGCTCTACTTGAATTGAACCCGTAAAGTAACCTGAAATCAGTCTGAAATCATCAACGCGAATTCAACTCGAGTCCGTCTGAATTAAACTAGGGTTGAGTTTTCCAACCCGAGGTAGGTTTAGGGTTGAAGATTATATAGTTAGAATTGATTGTCCAATCCACCCGAGTTGCACCCCTATACAAAATAACATATTTGTCCCTAATTATATGCATTGCACATGTCAATTAAGGATATAATGGTAAAATTTTGTCAAAGCATTATGAAATAATTATTTATTATTATACTATATGGGCTTCACATAATTCAAAAGTAATAGTGGAACAAAGGATTGAATAGAGAATGAATTTTTCTTGGATTTGAACACGGTTTCATTGGATTGGGTCGGATGGATTTGGGTTTAAAATTTCGATCCAATCCCATCCAACATTTTTAGCCAGGACTCGGAAAACTGACGACGACGACGACTAACGACCAAGTCCATCCAAAAGTCAACCATTACATTGTGACTCATTTATGACACGTGTCTTCTCCCCATTCGCCCTTCTCGCCGTAACTGAAACTCAAAGGCAAATCCCAGTGCCCCACGTGACCACCCCCAACCACGACCACGAACCCCACAGCCCAGCCAGCGGCGTGCATAGTGTGAGTCAAACTCTGCAATAAAACTCAATCTCTCTCGGACACTTTTCACTTTCGCTTTCACTTTCACCTCTCTCTCTCTCTCTCTCTCTCCAATGGCCTCCACCAAGCCTCTTCTCGTTTTCTATCTCTTCGTTCTTCTCTGTTTCGCTACCTTCTATGTTTCTATCTCCAAGCCCGAAGACGCCGATCTCGATGAAGATCTGAAGTTTCTCGAGGAAGGAGAAGACGACGCCGTTGCGTCGCATTCAGATCCGTACCACAACTATGAGAATTATGATGGACTCGAGGACGACGAGTCGTCCGATTCTCACGACTCGTACGCGCCTCCGGTGATCGACGAGAAGGATGTGGTTGTGTTGAAGGAGTCGAATTTTAGTGAGTTTGTGGAGAAGAATAGCTATGTGTTGGTGGAATTTTATGCTCCGTGGTGCGGACATTGTCAGGCTCTGGCGCCGGAGTATGCGGCGGCGGCGACGGAGTTGAAGGGAGAGGCGGTGCTGGCCAAGGTGGATGCGACGGAGGAGAGTGAGTTGGCTCAGAAGTATGATGTTCAGGGATTCCCGACGGTGTTTTTCTTTGTTGAGGGGGTTCACAAGCTTTATCCTGGTGGACGGACTAAGTAAGTGTGTGTGCATACTAATTTTTGGATTGGTTTGGTTCTGGGAGTTTTCATTTTGGATTTTGCTTATTATTCTGTTTTGCTGATGAGATTACTGGGAGAATAGAATTATAAAATCCATCTGGAAGACAAATACTGAAATAGATATGATTTACGTTGGTGAGATTTTGTTTTTGATTCAGTTCATTATTCTATTTAGTTGCTGCAATACTGGTGGAGAACTGAATAGGTTGTTTTATGTATTTTGGAACAGTTAACAACAAACAACCTGTGTGATTAACATATGGAAAACAGAATTGCACAATGTTACTTCATGATTGATGTACAATCTGATGTTTCCCTAGAAAATCATGCAATTAACGGAGGCCAGAATGAGATACTCTGATTGTTCCTTGGTCTTAGCATTGTTATAATACAGAAATAAGCAAATATGAAAATCATGGCATGTTATGTGTGGTTTGGTGGGAAGTCTAATTGTAAATACATTTGTGTCCTCTGGTTTAGATCTTCTCATTGTGTTCTATGTATGATTTTAACTAGAGTTCTGTCATAGTTATAATAGACCTCTTCCAAGCATGATCAGAGTCATTGAAATTGATTTGAAAGCCTAAGATAATAGTGTTTCTTCATATCATTCTAACTTACTATTTCTTTGTGAATCGGTGAAGGCTTCAATATCATTAATTGTCTTTCACAGAAAATTTGCTTTTAAATGCTAGTATACCATGCCATTGTTCTCTTGGCTTGGTGGTAAGTTGTGATATTATTATATGGTTTCAATTGTTGAGAATAAAATGATATTCAAAGTTGTAAGCAGCCATTCATTTTCTGTTTAATGACCAAAACATCCCTTGGTTTGTTCTCATGATTGAACCTGAACAATCAAATTCTTTAGTTGTTTTTATGAGATTAGGAGAAAAGCTTATAAGTTTTGCTGCTTTGATATTCTTCTTTGCTTAAAATGTTTCAGAATTTACTTCAAGGGAAATAAGTGGATTGCATGTCCTTTCCTTTTGGACATCTAACTAATTCATTAGTTTGTAATATACATTGCAGGGATGCTATTGTGACTTGGGTGAAGAAGAAGACTGGACCTGCTTTGTACAACATAACAACAACAGAAGAGGCAGAACGTATATTGGCTAATGAACTGAAAGTAGTTTTGGGCTTTCTGAACAATTTGGTGGTATTTCTCTATCATAATTTGAATTTTAATGTTTGTTTCTTTTTGGTTGATTTTTCAGTACCAAAAATTCTAAATTCCCTCTGCGTCAAATGCACACTAGTTGATGATTCCTTTTTGCTCCCTCTCTACGTGCTCTAAAAACCTCAATAATGAGTTGCTGGTGACAGCTGAAAAGCGATATAAGTCTTGGCAACCACAGCTTTGTGTCGCACCTTTTCATAGTTATTTTGGTTATTTGGATTGGAAATTTTTTCTTGTTTTTCATTTTTCATGTGTTTCTTGAGAAATTAAAGTACGTATAAATGAAAAAAAGGGTAGGTTAATTAACAGAAATGAGCTGTCCCATCTATATTATTACTTTTATGATTGAATTAAAGCTCTGAGATCTTTTTAGCTTCCATTTTTTTTTATTTATAAGGATAACACAAGAATTGGGCAGCATGACCTTGCTGCTTGTGGACTTGCTCAAGTCAAACTTGGCCACTCAGAAGCTAATAACTGAGTCAGTTTTTATAACTCCTCTATTCAGATATGGAGTAATCACAGTAGGTTATTCTTAATTCGTGAAAAACTTCCCTACTTCAGTACTGGAGTCCGGTTGTGGAAATTATGAATGGATATTTCACAACATAGATCAAAAAAGCGAGAAGCATAGTGTGAAACATTTGAACTTCCCAGGGTAAAATTTGAGTTTTGTCTGTCTTGTGTTTCAACTGGATGTTTTATTGTGTTTGCAGGGCCCGGAGAGTGAGGAGCTTGCTGCTGCTTCAAAACTGGAAGATGATGTCAGTTTTTATCAGACTGCCGCTCCTGAGGTGGCAAAGCTCTTCCACATTGATCCCCAAGTCAAACGTCCAGCTCTAGTCATGCTAAAGAAGGAGGCTGAAAAAATCAACCACTTTGGTTAGTTTCCTTGAAACCATGTTTTGCGCACTTCAGGTTGACTTTCACTACCTTTGCTCATGTTCATTTGGTTCCATAGTGGGTCAGTTCAGCAAATCAGCAGTAGCAGAATTTGTATTTGAGAACAAGCTTCCTTTAGTGACCATTTTTACTCGGGAAAGTGCCTCACTAATATTTGAGAATCCAATAAAGAAACAGGTAATACATAATGTCATGCCACTTGTCTCATATGATTTGATTTTGCCATTTCATTGTTTTTCACATGTTGGTTTCTTTTATATTCTCAGTTGATACTTTTTGCTACTTCCAATGACTCAGAGAAGTTTCTACCTGCATTCCAAGAGGCAGCAAAAGCTTTCAAAGGAAAGGTGATGCAGAAGCTAATTGTTACTTATTTTACCCATTTGGCTTTTGTAGAACTCATGCTTGCCTTTGAGAATAGTCGTTGGTTTGACACTGAATTTTTAGATTTTTTTTTTCTAGTTCTTATTACCAGTTAATTTTCTTTGTTTGTGCGGCCCAGTGGAAGGGCGGCGGGAAAGAAACTTGCTCAATTATTGGAACTTAGCAAGTGGAACATGAATAACCAAGATAATTGTCGTTTACTGAATAATCCTTATTTTGTTCGGGAATGTTATAATATACTATAGACCGTATAATTTTATGTTTCTATCATTTTTCGTTATCTGATGTTGTTCATTTCTTCACTATGTTCCATGGAAACATGCAAGGATACAACGTTTCAATACTCTAAATGATTAGATAAGGTAAAACTTGAAAATAAGTTTGTACTCCATTAATTTCTCAGTCCTTCTAGTTGGTAGGCTCCGGTAGATGTTTCGACCAGATCCCCTATTCGAGATGGCATTCATTTGCAAATCCTGTAGTAAATTTGAAACTGTTCGCACTTAGAAGCTAATTTGCGTCTCAGTAACACTGTTTGTTATGCCATTAACTCTATTTGTTCAGTCAATTTTGCTTCATTAGATTTTTTATATAAGTGGCTCCCTCTTTTTCCTAGAATTCATGCACCTCCTTTTACTCCACTCCGTAGGGCCTTACCTAATAGCGAAAAGCCTTCCATTTCCATCAAATGACTCGACCTCCCCTGGCTCTTTCACCGTTTGAGCTCACCGTCCTCCCTATGCCATGCTCTACAAGTTAGGCGTGTGCTTTCGCACTTGTGGTATTTTAACCAAACCGTCTTTGCCAGTGGTGCCATCCTCCTATCTATATGGGGGGGTTGTCCCTCGCTAGTGCATTATGTTAGGCTATTGATTATAAGAATAAATGTAGTTGAATGGACAACATGTGTGTTACACGTTCCACTGTGCTGAGATGTGAGGTACAGATGGTAATAATTATCTCGGGATATGCACTAGTCCCCTTTGGAAGGCACTCCAAAACCCGCCAAACCTGGGTCAAATGGTTGCCCACTAATCCGATTGGAGGTGTGGATAATGAGGCCACCTTCACAACTTTTTCCCTTATGTTCCTATGTTGTAGCAAAAGGTATGGTGGTTCGCTTGAGTTGCTCAGCTGGCCCTTAGTTCAGTGCTCATGATGTGCTATGGAACCTCCACCATGTCGGGGGGACCAAGAAGGGCATAGCTAACAGCATAAGAGCCGACTTGACATCAACTACTTCATGCCACACTGGGGTTATCCAATATGTTGGTGTGCACATTCCACTACTCCATTCATTTTCCAATACTGATTTAGATGTTGAGGTACATAATTCGAAGTGAAATTAGGGCTGCATGAAACATGCCTCCTAGGTCCAAGCAGAGTAATATGGCCATACAAGGGTTTGCTCGTGGAAATGGTTTCCAGAACATATAAATCTGTCTTTGAGTATAATTTGATTCAAGTGATAACTGATGAGCCACTGAATCTATAAATCGACAAGTATTTTATATACATAATATATCCGAGTACAGTCTTTGTGGGAGAGGGCAAAATGCAAGATGTCTTTTTTATTGTTTTGGCAATTATCACTTGTAGGAGGGTGAATGCCAGGTTCCACCACAAGAAAGAAGGACAAATGGAAGTGGACTTGGGGGTCGTCATATGTTTAGGTGGTGTTTTCTGAAAGAGTGCCTTCCTCACATAAATGCGGAGCCACCACAAGTTTCCTTGAATCTTTGAGTTGAATTAAATTGCACTTGCTATAAAATAGACTGGCCATGTACAGTTTAGATGCAAATGAAGTTGTTTTTGTTTCTTGTCAACAAGTGTCAAGAAGATACTTCTTGTAGATCATCATCCTTTAATATGGCTTCTATATATTTTTTGTGCACATGAAGCTATCATCTCTCAATACTGGTTAGATCTTTGCTCCTCCCAAAGTTGTTTTTGTATCGTTATTCATATGTTTTACTTGATCTTTGCAGCTTATCTTTGTTTATGTGGAAATGGATAATGAAGATGTTGGGAAACCAGTTTCAGAGTACTTTGGTGTGACAGGAGATGCTCCAAAAGTGAGTTTTTCTAAGTTGTTTCTACTTGGGTGTTGATCTTTATCTGATGCATTTATCTTTTCTTGACCATCTGCATTTTGTAAATTTAAAGCGGCAGAGGCAGTTACCCTGGCTACCTAGATGAGGCCTGTTTTGAACTTGAGATGGATGAAACAAAGTAAACTGTGTCCTTTTGCATGCAGGTTCTTGGTTACACAGGAAATGATGATGGCAGGAAGTTTTCATTGGATGGTGTATTAACATTAGGCAGCATCAAGGTCTGTACCTTTGTATACTTTTTTATGTTCTTGTAGCTTGTGTTGTCTTTTTGATAAATTTGGAATATTCTTCTTTCATTTATAGCGATGTCAGCTGTTTATATGATCTTTGCCATCTTGCAGTCATTTGGGGATAATTTCCTCGAAGACAATCTTAAGCCTTTCTATAAGTCCGATCCAATTCCGGAGACTGTAAGTTGTTGCCTTTCATTAAACTGTGATTTGTATGCATTATTCAAGCATTTGATCCAAATTCTTTTCTATTTGTGCAGAATGATGGGGATGTAAAAATAGTGGTTGGCAACAACTTCGATGAAATTGTTTTGGACGAGTCGAAAGATGTACTTCTTGAGGTATTAATCTTCCTCATCAATAATGGTGAAACCATCATGAAGTATGCTCAGATGTATAGTTATGACTGTTCAATTTGTTTTAAATCAGATTTATGCACCTTGGTGTGGGCATTGCCAAGCACTAGAGCCAATATATGACAAGCTTGCCAAGCATTTGAGAGGCATTGATTCTCTTGTCATAGCTAAGATGGATGGGACTACAAATGAGCATCCTCGTGCCAAGGTACTGTTTTGACTAATTCACTTCAGATCTTCACTCTCCTCTGGTACTGCATTCTCTGGCTCATCTTGCTATATTGGGGAAAAAAAAAAAACAAGGAAATAGGACGGTTCAGTATGGACTTAATTCAGAAGATTCAATAGTATGAATTGGGCAAGGGTTGGGGTTTTGTGACAAGTCTAATTAATATAAAATTTGACTTCATTGCTGCCTTCTGGTCTCGAATTTAACTGTGCAATTCAATGCTCGGAAAGGACATTTCCCTCTGGTAAAATTTATATTTTGGACTTCCAACAATTACTTTTTACTAGTAGATTGTTTAATTTGTAGGGTATCAAATACGGGGTCTGAGACATTGTGCATTGGTGCAACGAGGCCTGATCTTCTCGTTAATTCTATTTTCTGTTGATTCGTTCTGAAGTCCCTTTTGAACAGATGCCTAGGATATGACATGTTTAGCCATTGAATCTTCATCCTGTTTCATTAATATGTCTTGATTTCAGTGATTTCGAACTACATCGAGAGTGCATTTGGGTGACGATTGTTTTGCCTGATTTTTACAGGCTGATGGGTTCCCCACGCTTCTCTTCTTCCCAGCTGGCAACAAGAGCTTCGACCCGGTTAGTGCGGCATTAGTTCTCATTGACTATTGTTTTAGATCTCATTCTTTCTCCCAACAAAGTCTAACCATGCCTTTCATCAAGTTTCTTGACATTTGCTTTAAATGATTTTTGGGTTTTGCAGATCACCTGTGACACTGACCGTACAGTCGTGGCTTTTTACAAATTCCTCAAGAAGCACGCATCCATCCCGTTCAAGCTCAAAAAACAAGCATCAACCCCGGATTCCCAAGCTTCTGATGCAACCAAGACCCATGAGAGCAGCAGTGATGATGTGAAAGATGAATTGTGAGGTTTGTAACATTTTGAGTAGCCTTTTGCCCTTTGGTTAGAAGCCAAAAATGCTGCTCGGATCAGTCAGAATGGTGATAGAAGCCAAAAAAAAAAAAGGGGGTTTGTTGGGGGGGAGCCATAGGCATAACTTTCAAAATTCCTTTGTCTTTCTGTTTTGTTTAACTTATAAACTCCATAGTTTTGCCTTCAATAGTCTTAAGCAATAAATAAAAAGTTTCTTCTCTTACTTGGCAGTTGTTCGAAGGGCAATACTCTCCCACGCCCCCATGAACCAATGGGTTCTCCAATTGAATCATGTAATCACAAAGCTAAGAGCATCATGAATCCACAGTAACAATCTTTACTTCGTTTTTTTCATCTTCGTACCTTGACTTCTATTGACCTTTCTCCATCTAAATTCAGCTCTCTGCTGTTCAATATACTTTTGTTCCGTTTTTTCATCAAAGAATGCCTCTTGTGTACTCATTCACTAGCTTCCATGGCTCTTTTTGGCCATGACGAGAATGGTTAGAATCTTTGTTCTTTCACTACTACGGTACTATTATCTTTCAATACTTCAGTCCACGCAGATCGTTGAAGCTGCACCAGCTCCTGCAGCTTATTCTCTCACCATCAACCACCTGCAGCGACCGCCCTGACCCTGCCACAGAGCAAGTCCCTGCCGCCTTCACCCTTGATGCCCCGCGTTAACTCCACTCCTCCCACAAAAGGTGGTGGACTGAAGGCTGGGATAGTGATAGGAGTTTTTGCAAATGTTGTTGCAGCAAGGGTTAAGGATCAAAATTTTTATTTAGATGCACAGGGGTGGAGCCAAAAAATATTTCAATTGGATAATTAGACAAACTTTAATTTTTTTTTTTTTTTGCAGTTGATGATAGTAACAATGATTAAGGGTGTCAAATTTTGACACGACACGACAATACTATATGAATACGACACAAATTAATGGATTAGGGTTGGTTATTTTTTTATATAAATTTGTGTATGACACAACTTGTCAATACGATCTATGTTTACCTGACCTGGGTAGGTTGAATTACGAGTTGAGTCATGTTTATCCGAACATGACTTGTGTGAACCTTGGGTCACGAGTCGTGTTGGGTTGATTGTATTTAGAAACAGGTTGTGTTTGTGTCCGAAGATCTAATCCATTTAACTTAGATTGTGTTTGGGTTGAAGTGCCTTGAACCCAAATCCATCATGACACCTGACCCGACCGGACTCGATTATCACCCCTAACAAAGATATATTTATATTTACTAATTGTTACAAATGTGTGTTACACATGATCATTTTGAAATACAATTTTTGTTTTGACAAAAGAATCTCCCAACTAATTATGGAAAAAGCAAGTGCACGGAAAAATAAAAAGAGAAAAGTGAACAGTGAAAATAACATTAGCAGTGATGATGAACACAATCTTTAGAGACTTTATATTAAAATTAAGCACTTAATAAGGCCTAATAATTAGTAAATTATCCTCCAATCTTGCTTCGCTCAACACTAGACCAATAAATAACCCAGCGACCAAAATTTTCATTGACATCATACTCTAAACCATAAAGACACACTAAGAGAAACCTCAACACTTGAACACTGAAATGTGCACTTGGAATGTAGAGGAGTCTCTAAAGTACCAGGTGATGGCTTTGGAGTTTTATGGGAATCCATGATGGGAAACACTATTCTTTTTTCAACTTTTACAATTTTTTGGCTTGTAAATTTCCATGATTATTTTGTCCTATTCCTTGTAACAATCTTTCACAATTTGTTTATTTTCATTTATCTGTGCTTGCTATCATGTTCCTTGGGGAAAGAATCACAGTTTACCAGTTGTGGACTCGACAATTGAATGTAGCATAGATGACTGCAAGAGAAAAAGAAAGGCCGTAAGCACTTTGGTTGTCATATCATTATTATGTTAGTGGGGGTGTTAATTATAATATGTTGATACTAATATGACACGACACGATTATTAAATATATATCATAAAATGTTTAGATTAATGTTTGATCCTCAGAACACATTAAATATAATTTTTTTTCATAAGTCTTAATATAAACATGATATAAAAATATACAATACACGGGTCACATGATACGGATTGACACTCCGAAGTTGGAAAGAGGGGTGTTCACCCTACCCTATGGGTAGGAAATATTATCTTTCGTCTTTTTACTCGATACTTTGCGGAAGAATTTTTTCTTAGCCTATCCTACCCGATCAGGTGAAGTATATGAATGTGTGTAATTAATGAACAATAAATAAAGTAATCAATGACAAAACAGTAAATATGAGCAAATACACACATATATAGTGATTCGCTTCGAACGACCTACTCCACTCTCGAGAAACCCCAGTTGTGGCAAGAGGAATTTATTGAAAAATAAAGTAACAGAGAGAGAGAGCTCTGGGAGGTATATGCTCTGGGAGAAGTACACTAGCTAGAAGAGAGAAGCTATGTGTGTAGGGAGGTGTAGAGAGACAAAACTCAATGTGTAGAGATGTGTGTTGGAAGAGATGTCTCTTCATGGGGAGAGAGTTTACAATATATAGGTTTGGTGAGGTGGTGACGTGCGTGAGAGGACATTACTTCTTTGGTAAATACAATTAAGGTAGAACTGGTCTTCATAAGTGCATATCCCAATAATCTCTCTCCCACGTGTTCTTATCTTCTCGGGCTCCTTGGAACTTGAACTGAGTCGAATTGATAAAATGGATTTGAGCTACCTTTTAGCTAACTTTGACTTGCTTGATTAATTGGGGCCAACCTGGTTAGATTTAGGCTCATCAAGAAATACTTATTCACTAATAATAAAAATTGATAAATGAAGGTTTACATGAATTCACAACCACCATAAATTGCCAAAGCGTTCTGTANATAAAATGGATTTGAGCTACCTTTTAGCTAACTTTGACTTGCTTGATTAATTGGGGTCAACCTGGTTAGATTTAGGCTCATCAAGAAATACTTATTCACTAATAATAAAAATTGACAAATGAAGGTTTACATGAATTCACAACCACCATAAATTGCCAAAGCTTTCTGAAGTATTAAACAAAAATACACCGAACACCCGTTTCTACAAAACTATAGCGCAATTTCTAATATAGAAGAAAAATGAAAAAAAAAAATATAAACAGAAAGAAGAAATCAAAGATTTGTAAACCATAATATTACTAAGTAGAGNCGTTTCTACAAAACTATAGCGCAATTTCTAATATAGAAGAAAAATGAAAAAAAAAATATAAACAGAAAGAAGAAATCAAAGATTTGTAAACCATAATATTACTAAGTAGAGATACAATTGATTTTAAATTGATCTAAACCATAAACCATAATATTGAATATTGATATAGATACTTGCTATGTGCCAAGTGTAGGAAGTTACATTATTTACATATGATTATAAACTTATAATCCATGATTAAGTTATCTCACCACTTGAGGCAAATACATCCCTGCAAAAAAACAAATGATAAAAAGGTTACAGTAGACTACCATTATTTGCACTGATCTAGAGGGATGTATCTCTATGTGGAAAGTATGCTTCTCTGATATGACGGGTGCTTTGATTAAGCACACAATGAGTTAGCAACACCTTGTAAAATGATATGACAATGCATCCCCATGACATGTATGTTGGGGATGGTGAGAAAGATGTTATTGTATTCTCAAGTGGGACTCAATGTCTTGGACTAGTCTAATAACCTAAGCACAATATTTCGATTTCATCGTTACAAAGATTACCTAATTTGTCGATCAACTTATTACACTTTCAAAATTAAAATCATTTCATTTTGTATGGTTTAGCAACTTGTAGACTTGGCTAAAATTTGTGGGCGACATTGATTGTTAAAGCTTTGGTGGTAAAAATAATAACTGTAGGGCTATATTTGTCACTCAACACCAACATGCTATACGGCAGTTTTATCTCTTCAGATCCTGCTGCAAATAGGACTCTTTATATTTCTCTCTCATCGACTCTTCCCTAGCCCGAACACCACAAAGCCTCAATTCTCATTGACCAAATCTCGATTCTGTAGGTACGTTTCTACGCCACACCACAATTTCAATTGTCTCTATATTCGCTCTCCTGTTTTTGATTTTGAGATATTTTTTTCTGCTTGTAGATCATATAAATGCTTGTCTCTGTTTACAATCTTATGTTTACATCCACAAATTCCTCCTTAATTCTATCCTTTTTTGTGGTAGATCTGGTCGTCTTCACTCAAATTTCATTATTCTTGATCCACTATATATCTAAATTTACTGTTTCATGGTAGTTCAACTGGGTATGAATCTTACTTCTTGAACTCTTTTGAGTTTGGAGGTGGTGAAGGAATGAAAAATCTAGGACTTTCATTTTGATTGGAAACTTCCAGTGATAAGCTTCTGGGATAACTTGGTGGCGTTGTTTTGTATCATTGGGTGAAAATTTTTAATGGGTGGTGCTATTTTGACCTAGATTAGATGATTAAATAGTGATTGTGGTGTTTTTTTTACTTCAAATTTTTGTCCTCTATATCCAGAATTTAACTGGTTATATTCACAATTATCAAAAGGTGTTTTTCAGCTATGAGATGAATTGTTGCAGTTTTGGTGGGGTATAATATGTAGCGACTGGAATTCAGAAACTGTTGATATTAATTCAATATGGGTGGTTTGTAAGCAAAATGGTGATCCCATTCTTAATCCATTAGAGCAGCTTTGACATTTGCATCAACGTCCAACTTTGGTTCCTTTGGAAAGAATTGTTACAGGTTATTCTTATGAAAAAAAATTCATCATCCTTTGTCTGACTAGTTATTCCAGTCTACATCTGAAAAATAGGAATTTGCTATTGATTTTCAGGGAGTTTTTTTTTTATTGGTTGGTTTCTGTTCTGTAGAAATCAGTAGAACTGGCACTTGTTTACCCTATGGATGANTTGTTCGAAGGGCAATACTCTCCCACGCCCCCATGAACCAATGGGTTCTCCAATTGAATCATGTAATCACAAAGCTAAGAGCATCATGAATCCACAGTAACAATCTTTACTTCGATTTTTTCATCTTCGTACCTTGACTTCTATTGACCTTTCTCCATCTAAATTCAGCTCTCTGCTGTTCAATATACTTATGTTCCGTTTTTTCATCAAAGAATGCCTCTTGTGTACTCATTCACTAGCTTCCATGGCTCTTTTTGGCCATGACGAGAATGGTTAGAATCTTTGTTCTTTCACTACTACGGTACTATTATCTTTCAATACTTCAGTCCACGCAGATCGTTGAAGCTGCACCAGCTCCTGCAGCTTATTCTCTCACCATCAACCACCTGCAGCGACCGCCCTGACCCTGCCACAGAGCAAGTCCCTGCCGCCTTCACCCTTGATGCCCCGCGTTAACT